CGTGCCCCTGCCCGGACCAGTAGCTCTGCACTCCCATTGTCTGGGAACCTGCTGCTGGCTGCTTCTACTGCACAGCATAGTCTGTGGTACCAGGAGAGGCAGGAAGCCAGCTTTAGCACCACTGCTGACTGGGAGCTGCTCTAAGTAAGCCCCTCCTGCCACAGCCCTGACACCCTAAAAGCCGGCGCCTCCTTCTACACTCCAAAGTTCTCATCCTCAGCCCCAACTTGGAACCCACACTCTAGTGAAATTATGCTGGGTCCCAAGCATCAACAATTTTCTTCAACTGGGTCACAAGAGAAAGTTTGAACACCACTGGCATAGTGGATCAATAGAAACACAATGAAAGTTGTCTTTTAACTAGAAACCTTTAATCACAGAGGTTGATGTATTGATTTCAACAATGAGTGACAGTGTGCAGTGCAAAAGGTATAATCTTAGGGTTGTTGTGTGGTTTTGATGGCATGAGTTGGGGGAGTCACAATCTAGTATGAATTGGACAGGTGTATTCACGACAAGAAATTGCTATCCAGATTAAGCATCTCAGAAAGATGACTCCCCTTCTCCCCCCCCCCCCCATCCCTACATGGGAGTACCAGTGTGTGGGGGCAGGAAGGAGGGTGGCTCCCAAGCTTTCTGATGTGTGAAAAGAGAACATAAGTTCCCAAGTCCCTTAGACCAGTATCAGTTTATTAGAGGGTTGGCAAAATTTAAAGGAGGTTATGCTACAAAGAAACTGGGAACTGTGGGGAAAAGAACAGAATTAGGTAAGCCAAACTGGATTGCAAAAGACCAAATGTCACCCCAAACTTGTATTTTAATGCGTGTATCTTTTAAATAACTCCGGATTTGCTTTTATTTTTCCTTTAGTTCAGTGCATCTGGACTAGGGTCTCTTTTATGGCAGGTATGGGGGCGTAGGCTGATTTCCTTTCCCAATTGCATTAAAAACAGGGTGTGCATAGCTATGCTATGGGATTGCTGTGCATAGCTGTGCAGAGAAGTTATTTCCTGGGCAAGCAAAGCCCAGCAAGCCACTCTCCGCTTTAGACACTCTCCCAGCATTGAGGCCCTGATCCACTTCCTGCGTTCTCTTTTAGAACGCGGCCCAGGGTTGCTAGGGGAACGCTGAAAGAGGCTGGCTACTGAAAGGTAACTGTAGCAACAGCAAACTCACCACCTCCTTCTCCCTCCCCTTTCCAAGACCCCCCAGTGCATGAGCTTTGCAACACATTCTGACGTTGCTGTTAATATAGACTGCTCTGCATCTGAGTGCAGTTAAAACAATGCACTTCTAATTGCTTTGTTGTAGATAGAAGTATGTTGCAAGCTCTGTCCCCTTTGCAGAAGGAAAACGATACTGCAACGCACATGGCTTGGGCATGAGGTTTTGCAGGGAGGGGAAAGACGCCTGCTAGATTCCCAAAATCACCATGAGTGACCTGGAGTCCCTGGCGGTGCTGAGGGACGATGACCCTAGGTACTCACTGCAGCTGGAAAATAGAAGGAGGAATGTTTTTGTGACCCAGTTAGGGGAACACAGGTAGGTGATCTCACTTGCACTCACATTTTATTTCCTTGAATCTAAAGTCTAAAAGATTGTTAAAGTGAATGTGTCTGTGAGACTCCAGTGTCAGAAATTAATTTCACCTTTGCCCTTTGGCTTTCTAGAATACTTAAAATAAAATGACTAGATTGATTAGTACTGTAGTAACTTTTACAGTAAACATAAAAATAGCTCCCACCCTGAGGAACTGTACTGACTGTAGAGCTTGTGACCTAGAGGCTGCGCTATCTATGATGATGCTCTCAGGCTGGACATGTTGTTCACTTTTGACAATAAAATTATTGTTTGCAATATTTGAACATGTTCGTTTATTGTATCTGAATCCACTTTGTAAACCCACAATAGAGTAGAAGACAGCAAGGCAGTCATTTAAATGTACAAGTTATAGAGGATAGTAGGGTGTCTATAAAAAAAAAAAACACCATGAATAATGTGACACACATGCACAATTGGCAAATTTAAAAAAAAAACACCATGCATAATGTGACACACATGCACAATTGGCAAATTTAGCCCTTAAAGTCCCGGACAGATCTGGGAAACTGAATATGTGCAGCTGCTGCATATATGTGCCTTGTTAATCTGTCTAGTTTGTTGTTTCTAATGTGGCCATTGCTGTGGTTTCTGCTTGCCAACATACTATAATTGTGACATATGTATAAATCTACCATATCTGGTTGACATTATGGCTATTTCAGAAGTTATGAGAGGCCAAGGATACATAGTTCTCATGTATTTTGGCGGCCATTTCTCTTTTTATAAAACATCTTTTCAAAGGAATAAGTAACATACCAGATATGCCCATTAATTCTAATTGTGCACTTTTAAGGGCCATAGCTAGAGTTTTATAGCACCCTGGACTCAAAGATATCAATCCTTAATAATGCAGTGCTCAGACTTCTAACCCTCATGACCTCAAACAAACCAAAACAGAAAATGATACCTTGAGAGCTTCGCAGTGGGATTAATCTTGTAATACAAATCTAAATTCTTGTTCCAGTTCTACCTCACTCTGGCCTGTGGGCAGGTCACCTAACTGTACCCAGGGGTCACTTCTTTTATTTTTAAAACAAAAATAATATCCATCTGTCCAAGTACTTATCCGTCCATTTGATAATACTTCTATACATCCTATGGGTATTGTGGGAATACTAAATTAATCTTTTATAGAGTTTCACTAAGGAAACCAGAGCATACAGGCAGTCCCTGAGTTACGCGGATCCGACATATGTCGGATACGCAGTTACAAACGGGGTTTGCTGCCTGTCTCCCTGGTCTGCTGGAGACCAGCAGACCAGGGAGATGGGAAGCAAAGCCTCTGAGGATGCCGGCAGCGGGGCAGCCCCGGCCGGTCTGGGCTGTTCACTGCCCGGGACAGGGCGACACGGAGC